CGCCATCTCCGCCAACTTAGAGCAGATGTAGCACTACTCCAAGAAACACATTTAGGCCAATCTGACTTTGTTCGTATGAAGAAACTTTGGGTAGGACACGTTATAGGTTCTCCCTCACTCAATAATAAAGCAGGTGTGCTCATTCTGATTCACAAAAAGCTCGCACCTGACATAATCTCGGTAAACACTGATGAGGCAGGCAGATTCCTAGCGGTACACCTCAAAGTAGGCTCTCAATCATTGGTCCTCACCAATATTTATGCTCCAAACTCACCGTCAAAACAGTTTTTTTCAGGACCTGTCCTCAAAGCTGTCCGCCTACATACATCTACCTTTAGTAGTCGGAGGGGACTTCAACTCACTTATGAATGCCTATGAAGATAAGTCAAAATCACTAGAACACAATCACCGCCCACTTGCGGAGTCCCAATCAACACTCACACTACTGTCTACATTTGCGGAAGCAATGCAACTAACAGACATTTGGCGTTTAGCCCACCCAGATGGGAAGGAATTCACCTTATTTTCTCCGGTACACCATTCGCTTTCCAGAATAGACTATTTTTTTTTTGCAATTCTATTGCTTTGCAATACGCATCTTCCTCAGATATACATGACATAGTTATTTCGGATCATTTTCCCATATCCATAACCCTCAACTATCTTAACAACACACAATCTCACAAAACGTGGCGCTTTCCTTCTTTCTTAGCAAATAACCAGGAGGTGTTACGTCAACTCCAAGATACTTGGGCAGACTTCCAGATCACCAATGCAGCTCACTTATCCAATCCTAACCTATTTTGGGAAACAGGAAAGGCGGTTTTACGTGGTAAAATCATCGCCTTTACATCTGCATATAAGAAAAAGGTCGCTCTAAAATACACAGAAGCTAGTAACCGACTCCGACAGACGCAAAAAAATTTGGCTGACTCCAACACACATGAACACAGGAAAGCTTGGCTAGAGGCAAAACACCAATTCGAAACATGGGCAACAGCACAAGAATCCATACACCAATCACATCTTGACTTACAGTATCATAAATTTGGCAACAAGCCGGGCAGACTCCTGGCTTGCTTGTGCCGTAAACCGTTTACTCCTACACAATTTACCTCCCTCAAAGACTCTCAGGGTATATTGAAACACTCCCCTGAAGAAATTGTTTCCATATTGGAAAGTTTCTACACTAAACTATATGGCCCCGACCCTATTGACCAATCAAAGGCTTTGTCTTTTCTAGACGGCATTGCTCTTCCTCAAATCGATCTCGTAGCACTCCAATCTCTTAATGCTCCTATATCTCAATCCGATATTCAATCCGCTATAAAAACTCTAGCTAATGGTGAAGCCCCTGGCCCAGACGGATACACTTCTGAGTTCTATAAAACTCATGGCTACAACCCTTTCTCCTACCCTGCAATCAGTTTACTGCTCTATTCAAGAAGGGGGTGCCTATCTTCCGTCTGCCTTTCAGGCACATATAAAATTGATAGCAAAGAAAGACAAAGATCCGTCTGACCCAGGTTCCTATAGGCCGATCTCCCTTCTAAATTTAGATGCCAAAATTCTATCGAAAATTATCGCAAATCGTTTAGCTATTGTTTTACCTTCCATCATTCATCCCTCTCAAGCGGGCTTCATACAAGGACGCTCTGCTGCCTCAAACATCCGCAAAGTACTAGCAGTGTTAAATCATGCTAAAATCAATCCTCACCTAGATCTAGCGATAATCTCTCTTGATGCTGAAAAGGCCTTCGATAATGTTAACTTTCAGTGGCTGCAGATGGTTTTACATAGATTTGGCTTCTCAGGCCCTTTCACTCATGTAGTCCAAGCTATGTACTCAGCTCCTACAGCACAGGTGGTTGCTGCAGGACACACATCTACCCCTATTAAACTGCATAAAGGAACAAGACAAGGGTGCCCCTTATCCCCCTTGCTCTTCAATTTGGCCCTAGAACCCTTACCCGCTTCCTTCTGTTCCACTCACAGCTGCACGGAGTCCAAATAGCTCAACAAGATCTACGTTTAGCCTTGTTTGCCGATGACATTTTAATTTTCACTGCCAACCCAACTCACGACTTGCCTTATATACAGGATATTTTCACAGCCTTCAGGCACTGTTCGGGTCTTCGTATTAACTTCACGAAAAGCGAAGTCCTTCCCTTATTCCATGCACGCACTCCCTCATGGGCTCATAATTCTCATTTCAAAATTGCTCCTCATCATATTACATACTTAGGAATCAAAATTGGAAAACTTGCCTCTTCTCTCTACTCGCTCAATTTTTCACCAACAATTCAAAAAATTATAGGCGAACTAGAGGTATGGAAAGAGTTACCACTGTCACTTGTAGGGAGAGCCCACCTCTTCAAGATGGTGAGCTTCCCGAAATTGTTATACCCTCTTCAGACCATCCCTCTACTACTTAAGCATACGGACATTCTTAGACTAAACAAAGCGCTCTCTCTACATTTATTTGGAAAGGACATCGGTCACGCATTGCCCTGCATAAGCTATATCTGCCTAGATGTGAGGGGGGGAATTGGTCTTCCAAATATCAGAGTATATAATCTCTCATGCATCTTACGGGTGTGTATAGATTGGCTGACCAAATCCTCCAACTATTCTAATCTGCAAATAGAATCTGCCATGGCCCATCCTTTCGATCTTGCAGCCCTTTTACATTCAAACCCTAACTCACTCCCTCCACACTTAAAATATAATCCACTCATCCGTGATACCCTTATCACATGGAGGGAGATCAGACGTAAATTAGGCGTATCCCCATGGGTTTCCCGTTTCCTCCCCATACATCATAATCCTGCTTTTTCTGTCCCTCAACAACACGCAGCTTATGATCTATGGTTGGAAAGGGACCTCAAACTAGTTAGCCAATTATACGATACGGCCTCTGGCTTTCCTTTATCTTTTTCTCAGATTTCAACTTCTTTCAATCTACCGCCTCATCATTTTTTCTGTATGTTTTGCAAGTTTGTAATTATGTGAACAAGATAACATTGGTTAAATCTAGTCGCTTCCTTTCCTCGTTCATAGATATCTTAGTTAGAAATCGGAAATACAAGATATCCCATATTTATGGACCATTAAACCTACACTATGTACACCCTCTAGAGGCCTCCACTCCTACTTCTCCTTGGATCAGAGACTTTGACAATACACTCTCAATGGATCAAATCCTCACTGGTTTCAACAATACCTGTGCCTTCAACTCCAATGAGTTCTGGCGGGAGCAACAATTAAAGTTAATGCACCATGCCTATATGCCATGCCTATATGTCCGTGGGAATCCCTCGGTCTCTACTTGCCCTTTGTGTGGGCACTATAAACCTTCGCTAAAACACAGATTTTGGGATTGCCAACTAATATCTACTTTTTGGTCCCAACTACTCAGCTATATCGCCTTCATCACTTCTCTACAACTACCAAGGGAACCTTTACCTCTTCTCTTCGGCAACTTGGAATCAGTCTCCACAGGGGCTCATCCACTTCAGCTTGCCATTCTCCGAGCCACAAAACCGTGGCTGTCCTCTTGCCTGATGGTCGCGAGGAGAGCCATATTGAAAAAGTGGGTCTCCAACAGTCCTCCTAATATCTCGGATGTCAAGTCAGCTCTTAATGCACTTCTTCGTCTGGACCAGCTTAACTTCCTCACCTCATCCCTCCAGCACAGTGAGGATCAATATAATCGAAAATGGAGACTCTATGTTCAAAAATCCTTTCCAACCACAGAGCTTCAGTTTTTCCTTCATGGCTCTTCTGTGATGCCCCAATCTGGAAACATGATCCAGTAAACCCGGACTTATTGTTTTGATTTATGAGGATTTAAGGTGTGCATGACTATATCTAAAACATTTACAATACTCGTTTGTTGCTGCTCTCACACCGCTTCTAGCCAACCTAGGCAACCAAGCCACATTTCCTTTCATCTATTTCCTTTACCATTTTCTTTATACTCATCTTCATCGCACATTCTTTTATAACTTCTCCCCCCCACCCTTAATCAGCGAGGACTCACAACACGTATATCACTTTTTGTTACAGGGAGTCGCCTCTAGCTCTATTTTTCTCTCAAACCACAGCGCTTGGCTCATTACCAAATATTCTTAACGACTTCTTGGGAGGGGATCCTCTGGCCCGTTCCAACATCATTTTCCCACCTCTTTCTTTTTTTTTCTTTTTCTCCATCTTTTTCTCCATCTTTTCTCCATACTAGCTTCCTTCTCAACTTTTTTCTTCTTCTGAATAGATCTACCTATCTCCCTGATCCTTCTTCTTTGATTATCTCCTCTACATACGCTTCTTTCCTACTTCAACATTCATGTCTTACGCATGACAACTGACATACTCTAAGCACCCCAGTTCTCATTCAAAGTTCAGTGGTATGTCCTGACCTTCTTATCTTTGAATATATATCATAGCTTACCATTACACATTCCCTACACTCTATACTGACTTACAATGCCTCCCATCTTTTGTCTCATTTGCCTTCAGAGTTTCTGTTCAGAGGTTCTAACTGCTGACATATCGTGAATCTTTCTGATCAGTTTTCTATGCAAAATTTTGTATTGCTCATATTGGTACTGTTAAAAAAAAAAAAAAAAAAAAAAAGGTTACTTTGTTGCCAAGAAGCATCTTTGGAGTGTTTCATCCGCTGAGTTTATGTAAATTGAAAAATTCAAATAAAGCTTTGTTTAAAAAAAAAAAAAAAAGAGTTAAACCCAGTTACCAGCATCTGAGAACCCTAAAGTGAGTTAGCCTTACATCTTAATAGCTCACTTCAGCTTACTTGTGGAGAGATATCTCAGAAGCTGTGATTGATGTTTAAACTCTGATCCTGCAGGAAATTTGGGTTTACTTAAAGTAATACTGAGCTTTATTACTTTGTTGAACCTTTTAGAGTGTAGAATTATTTTATTTTATACACATCTACTGTCATTCTTGTCATCCTCAACAAAATCAGAATATCTACTCACCTTAAACTGTTTATTTTATGGTTCAAAGCCAGGGAGTCCTCCTTCTCAAAGCTTCACGATGGTGTTAACTGCTGCTGTAATTCTAAAGGAGGCTCAGAACCAGGGGTGGACTGACAACTCATGGGGCCCCCGGGCAATAGGGGATCATGGGGCCCCTGTGTCCTTGCCCAAACTCAAAAAAGCCTATGAAAAAGGTACCAGGGGCATCTCATGGGGCCCCCTACTGACCCCGGGCCCTTGGGCAGTGCCCGAGTTTCCAAATGGTCAGTCTGCCCCTGCTCAGAACAGAGAGGGAAACAAAAAAAAAAACCCAGCGGCCATCAAGTGGGTAGCACTACACTTTGATGAATTGAGCTGGCTGCTTTTACCTGTTAACCACTCTAATCAGGTGAGGTGTGTGGCGACCTATTCTTCCTATTTTTACAACCTCCTCACCTCCTGTTTTAAACCCAACAGGGTGAGTTCATGAACAGGTCACCATGGCAGATGATGCAGGCTAGTGCCAGGTTAGGGTCCTCAGGATCATTGGAGGTGAGCAAGTCTGGTTTCAGTAGCAGACATAGCAGGAAGAAATCAAGCAAAAGTGTAGTCAGTAAACAAGCCAGAGGTTGGTCACAAATAGTTGCAGGTTGGGATCAAGCTGAAGCGCAGTCAGCAAACAAGCGAAAGGTCAATAACAAATGGATGCAGGTTGGGATTAAGGAGAGGCGTAGTTGAGGAACAAGCCAAAGTTTGGTAATGAGTGGTAGTGAAGATATGGATGGCAGCAGGAATGAAAGGAGCAAGATATTAGCTGGACAAGAGCACAATAGTCTGGCAAACAAGAAGTGCAGAAACATGGCTTAAATCAGGAAATTCATGGGAGGAGCATAGAGTTCAAGATTCATTAGAAACAAGGTGCAAGGCAAGATTGTCAAAGGGTTAAGACAGGGAGCTGTCCAGCATCTCAGGTAGCACAGCCAGAAGAGCTACAGCCAGACACTGCACAAGGTTGCAGGTTCAGATCCAGACCCTTACAAGGTATGTAATAAAAATGGACATTTTTATTTAACATATTACTAAATGATCAAGGTTTAAAAATGAATGCATTATATTAACACTCAAACATTTTCCAGTCCTTTTTTTTCTATTTGTGCATAACCACTTACATTTTTGTCAGATCACCACCGCCAGCTCTAGGTCTCACAGGGCTGTAGGCAGGTAAAGTTGGACAGAGATTCCCTTAAGTGTTGCTAATCCCACTGTTGAGTGCCTTGTGGGTATCCCTATTTAAGGTGGGTGGAGCTGGGGCCCTGGGTTTGTTCTAGCTCAAGGGGAGACAGAGAAGGAAGGTCTGCTGGAGGTGGATGTGCTGTACCCCTCAGGGTAGGGGCTGGAGAAGGGTCTTTCAGATAAAGCTAATGATGGATAAGGGTACTGAAAGCGGGGAAGCTGAGAAGGGATCCTAGAGTGGATGAGGAATGGAGCTTTGGTGTGTCCCCTTTGTTATCCCCACTGAAAGAACTGAACAGGTAGGAATTTTTAGCCTGGGAAGTGAATGAGAAAAGACAAGTAACAACTGCTGAGAGCTACAAGATAACATATGCCAATACTTTTTGACTTTTTTTTTAAAAAAGAGTTTACTATAGTTTATTATAGTTTACTGCAAACCTCTGTATGAATATTTTATGGAAGAAATGTCTTGTATAGTCAATACCTGGGAAAAGTAGTAGGTGGTGTGCTTACTGGTGCAAACCTGGCTGTCTTGACCCTGGAAGCAGACAAATGGATCAGGCGTGTGAGTATTCCCAGGGAAGAAGGGGTTTAACCATGTGTGGGCCAAGAGGGTCGAAAGCTAGGTCTCAGGCCACCATCCATGCACAGGACAGAATGGCCTTGGGCTAAACAACATGTGATGCCCTGCAAACTGCACCTAGGTGCTGGTGCCTGGCAGCATGTGGGATCAATGTGAGGATGAGCCCCAGCCCCACCTTGCAGGGCTGCTACCTGAAGTTCTGGGTAGGGAAGTCCATGCCCTGTGCACTTCACTGAGTAGTTATGAAGAAACAGTGCAGGCTGCAGCTGATGTCAATCACCTTCAGGCATAGACTTTGGGCTATGTGTTGCTGTAATGCATGCAGTGTTGGGAGAGGAGTCAGTAGTGCCAGGTGGGAGCATGAAACCAAGGATGGCTCTAAGGGATCCTGTAAGGGGGTAGAGCTATCTGAAAACAGAAATCTAGGAAGTGAAGATGTTGGTAGAAGGAAAGGAACCACAGGCTTTTTTTTTTTAATTTAAATATTTATTAATTTTTCAGATAAACAAGTTTTACAAACATATTCATTAAAACCTTAGCATATTATCAAAACATTTACCGTTTCATCCCTCCCCCCCCCCTCCCCCAACCTATATACCACCCATCAGGAGCCACAGGCTTTTTGGCCTGGTTCACATTTGTGCAATTTCAAATGCAATTTCAGTTGCACAGAATCACATGATAATGGAAGTCACATTGTTTTCAGTGGTGCCCATTCACATCAATGCAGCTCCATGTAGCTTGATTTTAGGAAAGTTTCTTTTATTACTTTGTTGCTATCAACAGTGCAATTTTGGATGCATATAATATGCAAACCACATTCAAACTGTAACTAAGTTGCAACAAAGTCACACTACATAATTGCATTGAAAATGGGATCAAAATTGGACCACAGCAGTGTGAACTCACAGCAAACATGGAAGGTTTTGAAGTCTGCATCACCTTATGATTTTTACTTCAGAATGTTTAAAAACACTAGAAACATTTAATTAGCATGTTGATGAGAAGGGGAAGGAAGAACCAGGAAAGGCAAAATATATAACCTCAGTTTAACAGTTCATTCAGTTAATTATTTAGAAGTTAGTAACTAAAAATGTGTCAAGTATCAGTAATGAAACATTGAGATGTAATGTTACATTGAAATGCAGTGTTTCATTATATCCTCTTTGATCTTGCTATGCTTTACACGTCTTTGTTTTGGTAATGTCCTTGACATGCTTCCTGTCCAATGTATTTACACACTTATATACTTACATAACTTGTCCTTTTGTTATGGCGTGTAGGCTTCAGCACATGAAAGTGGCATGCCAAAAAAAAAAAGTAATTTTATCTAATGTTTTTAGTGTATCTAAATCCTGTTAGAGACTCTGTGCAGGGGCGGACTGACCATTTGGAAACTCGGACACTGCCTGAGGGCCCAGGGTCAGTAGGGGGCCCTATGACATGCCCCTGGTACGTTTTTCATAGGCTTTTTTGAGTTTGGGCAAGGACACAGGGGCCCCATGATCTCCTATTGCCCGGGGAGCCCCATTAGTTGTCAGTCCACCCGACTCTGTGTGTGCACTTAACTTAAAGTTTAAATAGTATGCAGTGTATGTTGATGGAATTAAAGCGATTGTAAAAAAACCCCCAAAAAACAGTAAAATAAAGAACCACATTATTACAGTGAGCATGCACACAAATCCCCACTGAGAGGCCACAGGGAATGTACAGACACAATTTTATCATGTGCTCATTGAAATTGAGAGCCCATAGATAAATATCCATACATACAGTGCTCTGTTGCTTCAACAACATAATGTACAGGATTTTTTTATCTACAGGTTTGCTTGATGCAAGCACATTTATTTCCTTAGGGAGCAATTGTGGTACTTGTCATATTAGTTAATTTTTCAGTAAATTGTTGAAACGTATAATCCTTAGTGCATCTCAACGGAACAGAGGGCACAAAAGCAACATTATTTGGCAGTTTAATTTAAACTAGAAACACACTATACACAATTTGCTAGATAGGTTCATTAATCACATTCAGCGCTCTTGATCACATTCAATTCACTAGTACATTTATGTGCTCATTTAATCTTGCAGTACAAGTTTACCATAACAATTTATCCCAGCTCTTGTTCATCTAGTGCAGAGGTCTTCAAACTGCGGCCCGGGGGCCAGGTCTGACCCTTTGCTTGCCTTTATCCGGCCCTCGGGGCAATATTCCTCCAACTGACATTAACAATAGGACATAATTCTTGCCACTGACACCAACAGTTGGGCACTATTTCTCTCGTGGACACCAGTGATGGGGCATTGTTACCAACACCAGGACAGTTTCTACTCCCATTGGCCACAGTTTGGCTTATCTAGAGTCTTAAGGAAAGTAAATTGGCCCTTTGTTTAGAAAGTTTGGAGACCCTTGATCTAGTGTAGTAAACTAGGCCCACTATATGCTTTGAAAAGTTGGTGATAAAACCCTGAGTGTAATTTCTTCATTACTTGTGCTGCCTGTCTCTACCTAGCAGATTTGAAATGCAACGATCTTTTGAGTAGTTCAGCATTCCCCTACAATGCTAATAACCCAGTTCCGATATGTGGAATAGAGTCAGATGAATTAGCATACTGGTAACAATGGTTCTGCTGGGTGGGGCGCCAAGGGTAGTGCAACTATGATTGCTGGTTCCCAAAAAAAAGCATAGACCCTCATGATCTACAAAAGCATTATTTCCAATGCAGGCTGTTCACATACTGTATATGCGATGCAAATGTGACCTGGTCCAAAAAAGGATCCTGTAGGAGTTTAGTGTGGGTGTGGTGTGAATTTTATCTCCCGCTATGCCCAGTCCCCTCAGAAATCGAATTCAATTCACACTTGTCACAGCAGAAATTGAACTGTGAAACCGCATCAGATTCGCACCACATCAGTGTGAACCTGCACTCTAAGCACAGAACAATAGGCATCTTGTGCTCTTGAAGGACCTGTTCTTCTCAGGCTCCACTTAACCACTTCAAGTCCGGACACTTTCACCCCCTTCCAGTCCAGGCCAATTTTCAGCTTTCCGTGCTATACCACTTTGAATAACAATTGCGCGGTCATGCAACACTGTACCCATATTAATTTTTTAGCATTTTTTGAGACAGACAAAACTTTATTTTGGTAGTATATAATCACCACTGGGATTTTTATTTTTTTGCTATATAAATGAAAAAGTCCAAAAATTTTGAAAAATTTTGCAAATAAATAATCTTTCTTCATAAATCTTGGTCAAAATGTATTCATCTATCTTTTTAGTAAAAAAAATAAATAACCCAAATTAGTTTATAACCAAAAATTATAATTTTTCAAAACAAATTGTACATTTTTATTTATTTTTTTACATTATTATTTATGTTTTGGTTTTATTTTTTAACATACTGTCACTCTAGCAGTACAGTGTCACCATAGTACTACTTGTGGGGGGGTGATGGAGATTTCTTTTTCTTTTTTAACACTGATTGCTTTTACACCCATAAAGGCTGCAAAAGCG